TATTTATAGTTTCTTTAGAAACCCAAACTAATTTATGTGAGTCATAATTTTTGAATGAACATTTATAAGCAAAATGATCATGTCCACAATAAAAACTACACTTAACCTTATGGGTAACATGTAATGTTAGTCCTTTAACAAAAGTAGTTTGCTTTTGTTGAGTGTTGCTACTTACAAAACTGATTTTTACTTTTCTTTAAACATAACATTTATTAGCAAGGATCATGTTTAAAGATTTATTACCAATTTTAATTTTTTCTAATATTTTTTATAGTAAAATATTTTCTTTCTTAAGTAAATGTAATTCTTCACACTTAGTTCAAGGAGTTAACATACAATTATCATGCTCATTTTTTAATTTTTTAAATTCACTAACAAGGGAAGTATGATCCTTTTTTAATAATTTATATTTTTTACTAACTAATTTAAATTCATCAAACAAATCATGAAATGCATCGAGTAATTCATCATAAGATAAAAGAGATTCGTTTGAGTTGCATACCTCTTGGTCAAATGTCATTAGTGTGTAGTTTGCAACTTCGTCTTTGTTGGTTAGCTCCTCATCTTCAGATGTACTCGAATTATCCCCAGTTACTTTGAGTGCTTTCTTTTTCTTCAGTAGCTTCTTCACTTGGGGACATTTCTTTTTAAAGTGCCCCAGCTTCCTACTTTCATAGCATATTATTGTGTCCTTTTTTAGTTCATTTTTGTTCTTCGTATCTTGTTTTGTTTTGTTCATTTTTAAGAATTTTTAAATTTTCTTGTAAGAAATGCCAAGTCATCATTATCATCATCATCACATAAGTTTTCTCCTAAGTGATCTTCTTTAGTTCTAAGTGTTATGTCCTTCTTATTCTTTGGAAGATTGTTATCATATTCATCATGTGTCATAAATGTCATTTTATAAGTCATTAAAGACCCAATAAATTTTTGAAGCAGAAAGTTATTCAGGTCCTTTGCTTCTTGTATTGTTGTTACTTTTGAATCCTAACTTTTTGGAAGGGATCTTAGTATTTTATTTACAAGTTCGAAGTTAGAAAAACTTTTACCAAGTGCTTTAAAACCATTGACGACATCTGTAAAATGAGTGTACATGTCCCCAATGATTTTATTTGGTTTCATTTAAAATAATTTAAAACTATACATTAAAAGATTGATTTTAGATTCTTTAACTCTACTTGTACCTTCATATGTAATTTCAAGAGTATGCCAAATGTCATGTGCAGTTTCGCATATCGAAATACGATTAAACTCATTTTTGTCCAAAGCATAAAACAAAGCATTCATAACTTTAGCATTTATCAAAAATATTTTTTTAAAAAAATTACTCCATTTATTCAGAAGTTTAGAGGATTTTTGAAAGCCATATTTGACAATGTTCCATATATCAAAATCCATAAAAATTAAAAAATTCCTCATACGAGTTTTTCAATACGTATAGTTCATCCCATTAAAATAGGGGAATGAGTGATAGAGTGACCCTCTAGATTGTCGGTAAAAGCAATTTAAACTCTTTTAGGTGTTAAACCAACCAAGAGTAACGTGGCTCTAATACCAATTGTTAGGATTGAAATCAGCACTAAGAGGGGGGTGAATTAGTGCTTTGGAAAACTTTTGTCGATTCAAAATCTCGTTCGATGAAAACCAATATCGAGTGTGCTTGACTTAAAGTAAGTGCAAGGTGGAGTGAGCAAAAAAATTAGTAAGCAATAAAGATAAACAGCAAAGAAGAGAGCATACCGAATTTATAGTGGTTCGATTATCGTGACCTACGTCCACTCTCAATTCCTCTTCCATTAAAGCCATTGGCATTCACTATCGATCTTCTTTCAATGGGTGAAAATCAATTACTCTCTTACAACTCTTTCTCCTTTTCACAGGTTTTTGAGACAACCTTTACAAGTCTCATACCTCTATTAGAATAATCACAAAATTTAGAGCTAGAGAAGGGAAACTCTCAAGGAATTACAACAATATTTTCACATAAATTTTTGTTCAAGTTCTTTTTTAAACCAAGCAGGGATGAGTGGGGTATTTATAGGTCCCAAATGAATTTAAATTTGAAGCCAAAATGGTCTCATCCTTGGTTTTCAGGGTACTAACGGTACCACCATCCAAACATTACTTGGGAGGCCAAGCCTTAGGAGGTTCCACCGCAACCTTAGTGGTGCCACTGCTTGATCTGGCTCTGGGTCACTGAATGGGCCAACTAGCAAGCTCAATTCAACCCTGATTTAGGTCCAATTGGTCCATATTTGAGTTAGTAGGATTACTCCCAAAACTAACTCAAATTAAGACCTAACTATGATAATTAAGGCTTAAACAATTATAATACAAGCAATCTTAGTTGTTTGACATATCATTTGTTCATCTAAACTCCCGACGAACTTCTGATGTATCGTCCGAACTTTAAGCATATCACCCGATCTATCGGCATGTTGACTCCCACAACATCCGATCTTGGCATAATGTTCAATTCTTCCAACTTGATACTTAATCTTTGACTCTAGCCCAACATTTGATTCTACTGCTTTAATTATTTTACCTTTTCCTGATCATAGTTAATCCTGCATTACTTAAACATACATTAAAACATAACTTCATCAATTGATTTTATCATCAAAATCTGAGATTCAACAATACGATATCCCTAAGTAACAAATTTATCTTATATACACAATTTTTGGTTTAGCATATTTTTGCGCACTAATCTTCGTACGATGACAAAAAAACTATTTTTCTGAAAATCTAATATTTTTGTTTTTTGTTCTTCGGCTATGCATATGATGTCCCCCCAGATTTCTCAACAAGATTCATATATGGGATGAAGTAAGCTTCCCAAAGTTAGAACATAAGATTTGATGAGGTGATCAGATCTTATGACTTCGTTAAGAACGAAGATGAGTCTTATGTGTATAGGAAGGTAAGTGGGAGGGCTATCACCTTCTTTGTGCTTTATGTAGATGACATCCTAATCATTGGGAATGATGTAGGAATATTATCCATAGTTAAAGTTTGGTTATCCAAATATTTCTCCATGAAGGACTTAGGGGAAGCATTCTATATATTGGAGATTCGGATCTATAGAGATAGATCCAATATGATGCTTGGCTTGTCTTAGTCGAGGTACATATATACAATTATCAAAAAGTTTGGCATGAAAAATTCTAACAAAGGTCTCATACCGATAAGACATGGAATATCACTTTCCAGGAATATGTCTCTAAAGACTCCTAAAGAAAGGGCAGATATGAATAGAATACCTTATGCCTTAACGATATGATCTATCACATCTGTTATATTATGTACCAGACCTGATATAGCGCATGCTCTAAGTGTTACTGTTAGGAAATCTAGGGTAGTATCACATGTGCAGCGAAAGGACAAAAAAATAAAATCTAAAAATTTCTTATAGAAAAAGTTTATCGTCATCGTATGAAGATTGGTACACAAAAACTCACAAAACTAAAATTGCACATATATAAAAGATATGTTACCTAGGGAGATTGTATATCTCTAAAAACTTATAGATCTGTGGGAGATGATGAAGGAGGTCAACTGTCTTCCTCTCTAGCAGTGATCCATACGGCAGGTGCTGTGAATACACTCCTCAAATCTCTACACAATCCACGTTTTCAAGCCCATCACACAATCAAGAAAGGGCCAACCCTTCTTGCTATTCACACACCCTAAACTAGGGTTGTTGGCTGAGAAGGAGAGAGAGAGAGAGAGGAGTGTAGGAGGTAGCAGCGAAAAGGGTCTAGCTTATACCCCCTTTGGTTCCCTCCTATTTATAGAAATTCATGTTAACTTAATCATAATAGATCTTGTCCTATTGGGTACTAAATCTTCATCCAACTACCCAAGCCTCTTAGATTAGTGGATCTCTACCTAATAATCTTTCATTGGCTCTTATCGGATCTTATTCACAAAATCCAATAATTGATGGGCTTATTGGATATCCAATAAGATATGGGCTCCAACAGATATTTCATATTTGAATCTCTATTCATCGTAACACCTACCATATATGTATGATCTTCTAGGCCCAATATCGAGCTTGCCGTGAATCACACCTTTTAGAACTCTTTCTGGGTTAGTAAATTATCATCTCTATAATAATTCACTCGACTTATCGACTACGGACGTACTATGCCACTATATCGTAATCCCCAAACAATACAAGGGATTCCAATTTATTAGACTTATCTGTCCTCAGTTACCGTATATATATAGTCTCTCATCCATCTAATCCATCTAATATCCTCTATCCATCAAATTATCATCATCTAAATTATTTTGTAATACTTTAAATAATAAAAAATTATAAAAATTTTAAAATCATATGTATTTATTAATTTCAAATACATGCATTAATACTTTCAAAAATAAATTAAATAAAGATACATGCATTAACACTTATTCTAATCGATATATCCTTCATACATCTTTCCTTTCCTTTCCTTTCCTTTCCTTATTTTTTCAATATAATTATTTTCCTCCCTTTATTTCTTCCCAATATAAATATCTAATGATATAAGAATATCAAAATCAATTAATTCATGATATAAGAATATAATTATACACTAATCTAATTAACAGAAAACAAGAAAACTCAAAATCATACCTAACATGTTTTTTGTTTTTCGGCTTGATTCGGATTCATCATGTATCAAACCGAGTCATCTGTAAATTTTCTCTTTTTTTGTTCTTTCCTCGGGTGCAGATCAATTGCACTAGCCCTTCTTTTTTTGTCGCCATGAGGTAAAATAAGGATTGAATTGCCACTGAAGTTGATCTAAGAAACATGCTAATGCATTCCCGGCTATGCTTGAAAAGCTTGGCTTTGTCCACGATAATCACATCAAACTATTTCTTCTGTGCAAAAAGCAGCCAACAGCTTGTAGCTCAATATGATCACAGAGGAAACTTCGTATGGAGACTCTGAATGAGATGGATCATCACCCTCTATGGCATACCTTATTGATGAAGGCATAGGATATGAAAGCGGATACACCAGCAATATATAAGCATCTTAAAGAAAAGTCGACACTGTGATAGCAAACGAACGAGATGGAATTCCAAGTAGTTGCACCAACACACAACTCAAAAGTCCGAAAGAAAAGACAGCAAAGGCAGCTCACGTTAACTATCAAAGATTAAAACATGGACTTTATCTTCCAGGCATCAATCACTCATCACCCATGGCAAGCTCCAATGCATAATCATCTCTTTCCTGTCATTCATGCAATAACAGAGCATCAAGTAGTAAGACTAAACCTCAAAATGAGAAAAATGAAGTTACACTTGTCATGCAATACAAAAAAGAATACCACATAACATTTATTCCAGAGGCAACTAATTCATGCCTAGTAATGCAAGGTTGACAGGTTTCAGGAATCAAATCAACATGCAGTTGGTTGGATTAATTCCTAAAATGAACTCTTACGATAATGCTAGTCCTTCATTCTGTGAATACTAAGACAAGACAACTGAGTTTTCCTATTTATTTTACTGTCTTCTGAGGCTAAAGAACTTACAATTGGTCCTCGTGCAAAATACCGTCCAAATTGGAGCCAGTAAACCTGAAAAGTAGACTACTAGTCAATAGATGCGATTTGTACCATTATCTTCTCAAAAGAAAGGAGGCAAAAATACACAATCTAATAGTGATTTGCAGTTTCCAGGTATCAACTGAAATATAATAATACCTCATCCTCATCTTGAGTTTCAACTTCAATGTCAGAAGATGGAAAACCCACACATAATAATGCATAACCCTGAAAAGATTCAGTGGTCTTCAAAACATCCTCAAGATATTTGATTGCGACAAATATGCTTTAAATTATCGAACTATAGCATCTACCACTACAATAAGAACTTGTCATAGTCTTAAATGACAATGCACATGAAGCTTTAATCTCCAACCTGTAATTTAACCCATCAGGATTATATTAGTTTGGAAACTAATCTTGTAGTAGGACAATTTCGAGTACCAAACTGGTAGCACATTTTCACTATCTCAATCCTGGAGTCGATGAAACAGCTAGCAACATCTATAACTCAATTTAAACAGTACTCTATTATCACATGCAACAGGGAATTACCACTCGTATGATATAGCCATAATACAAACATAAGGCAACCAACCTTAGCTTTCAACTCCGCAGATATTCCAAGAGCCTCTGGTTGTCTAATTTGACCAGATCTCACTCGAACTGCACAGCTGGTGCAGCAACCTGAACAGTAAATTCCACTTGGGATCATTTGCTTCTGCTTAATTTGGAAGAAATCCTAGATGATGACACTACATGTATGGATTCTGCAATCTTCAACATCCTATAGTGTACTTGTGATAGCTGAACCTTTTGTAAAATTATAGCAACTCATGCAGAACTCAACCAGCCAAAAAGGTTGCCAATCATTTTCTCAAACGGGTAGAAGGTGAGAAAAAAGGCATGAAGATGCCGACATCCTCCCATGCTATTCACACAATAAAGCACTAAATTTGAGGAAAGGGAAGGCCACAAGATGGCATACCGTGCCTGCAAGCAAAGGGCAGGGATATGTTCTGGGACTCTGCAGTGTGTAGGATGTATTGGTCCTGCATCAAATGAAGTAAAGTAACAGCTAATTGACATGGGGAAAAGGAAGTGGAGGTTCTTTGCAGAAGCTCAAGCAGGTGCTTCGACAATGGGGTCAAGGAAATGCCGACTACCTCCGGAACGACGAACTCGTGGACGATACCCCGCTGCCGGTCATGAACAGTGACCCGGTGAGTCGCGATAGAAGAAGAGGACGAAGTGACCGTCGCGGCCGACGTAGGATTCGTGGTCTGCAGCTCCGCTCGGACCGTCATCGATGACCGCTCGCTGCTCGAATAGCGACGGCGTTGTAAAGGTCGTACTTGCTCCGGGAGGATGATCGTGGAGGAAGAGGATGTGAGGAAGGAGGGACGGCAGCAGTTGTTCGAAGGGATCGGAAGATGCATCACGACCGCCGCTTGCATCATAAGAGCATAGTGTTTGCTTTGTTTCGCTACTTCTCCTCCTCCGCCTCCTATCTCCCTCTCGTCTCGCGCGTTCTCAGCCGCTCGCTCCCGGCTAACAACCAGCACGGATAAGACAGCCTGTGAAACAATTCGACGAGGTTAATCGCTCATCACCCACACTCTCCACTAATCATGCGCCACATAGGCACGCCTAGTAGAGGCCTCTACACACGTGGACGCTTTGAGTCCGTTGAATCGTGCAAAGATCGCTGATGTGGAGCTCTTATGGCCTTTACAAAAAAGCTACAGCACCTTGAATCATTTTGACTTGTTTGAGTCACCTCAGCTTGGTTTTAATTTGCCATTACCTTCTGCAACCATGTCTTTTATGTATATTGCTTCTGATAGAATTATTTCAGCCAGAGAGTAGGAAAAAATCCCTCAACTTCTGCAACCATGTCTATCATGTCTATTGCTTCTGATAGAATTATTTCAACAAGAGAGTAGGAAAGGGCATTGAATTATTAGGCTTTGATTGGGAGCTATAGTTGCAGTCTTTATTACACTCTCTCAAATCTCAATAAGAATTAGAAGTAGCAACTTCATACAAACCATGAATCACAGTGGCCGAGTCCAAGAACTGAGAACTCTCACTTCTTGGGCTGGAGGCGGCTCTTGATCTTCTCGACTTCCTTGGTCCCGATCTGGAAGGCCTTGGTGAGGACGTGGTCGGGCACCGAAGGGGTGGCGGCGAAGAGGGTAGCCGCCAGGGACTGTGTGCCTGGGAGCTGGCTGTTGAAGGCGGCGAGGGCGGCGGCGGGGACGTCGGCGTTGTTCTTCTGGAAGTGTACGAGTCCGCGAGGGAAGACGAAGACGTCGCCCTTGGTGATGGTCTTGGCGATCAGCTTGTTGGCGGTGGTGATGAAGCCCACGTCGAGGGTGCCCTCGAGCACGAAGACAATCTCGGTGGCGCGGGGGTGGGTGTGTGGCGGGTTCAGCCCGCCGGGGGCGTAGTCGACGCGGGACATGGACACGCCCAGGGTGTTGAGCCCGGGGATCTTCTCCACGTTGGCGGCGGTGACCAGGGAGCCCATGGTGGTGTTGGTGGCCGCGCCCGGCTTCGCCAGCCCCTGGAAGAAGAAGTCCGCCTCCGTCACGTTCGCTGCCGGCTTGCACGCAAAGCCATTCACCCTCACGCCTGCCGAGGACAGTCGTGAACATGACCAAGAGAAACATCAGATCAAGTAACGAAACCAAGTAGAGCTCAAGAAGGCGCGTTACCAGCGTTGAGATCCGCCACGCAGATATCCTGCAGCATGTCAGGATCCGCAGCAAGGTTGGAAGAAACGAGGAAGAGGAATGAGAAGATGGTGACGAGGGAAGACGTGGCCATGGCTTTTGCTGGTTGCTGCTGAACTATCTTGGTATGAAAGAGAGATTGATGAACTTGCAGGACAGGGAGAAAGAGGTGATGCTATTTGTAAAGGATAACTTGGAGTAGGGTTTGGGTAATGCAGGGGTGAATGACCTTCCAAACCAAGAAAAATTGAGGAAGGCAGATGAAGCAGCATGTCTCAGTTGATGGATATAGCAATAGCTTAGTAGAACTATCTGAACTTAATATAATCGAAGAGATTAAATCAATATATTATCGTTCCAACTAAACTATGAAGCTAAAAGATCTCAAACTGGAATCTTATGGACTGAGAAAACATGGAAGAATACACGGAGAAGAAAGACCCAGTCTTGAGGGGAAAAGAAGTATCAACCTTACGGTCAATGGTCCCCCTTCGAATGGCGTAATAATGCAGCGGCCAACCAACAGCAGGCTTTGCTGACCAAGTTGGGACGCATTTAATGTAGGCTCTGTTAATTCATTAATTAACAACCAGGATATGAAATTATGTAAGATTCTGAAGAGATCAGAGTTCATAATAGAACAAAGATGAAGATAAGACTGGTAAAGCTGCAGTTTAGTGCAGAGTCTAATGAGATTATACCGTGCTCAGTGCTGATTGATCAAAAGCATGAACTGCGCTGAACTCCGGACGCTGTCATGGGCTCCTCCAACTTGCAGCAAATGGAGTCAATACTTAACTACAGCTTTAACTTTCAGTGCAAGCCTGAAAGGGATATTGACACCAAAGCATTGCTGGCAAGCAAAGTGGGCGGGAGAAGACTTCATCAGCTGGGAAAAGATCATCCAGATTCTTCGGTCATGACAGGTTCCTGGAACCTTCTTCACAACTTATTCTCTCTTGTGCTTTTATAGTGGGCTGACTCGAGTTTGAAAAACATCTCTTCTCAAAGGCAGGAGGGGTCCAAAGGCATCAGCCAAAGTTATTTTCAAATATACATACACCCCATTATGTAAGTTCTTAAAACATGTTTAGCTAGAAAGAAGTTTTCATAAGAGCTCTCAATGGTCTCTGTTACAAAGATTGGTTGGAAGCCAATGCTAACCTTGTATCTTCTGCTGATTAGCTTTAGGAGATGCACCTTGAATGATGGCAGGTAGCAGCTTTTTGCATTACATCTGCAATATCAAACATTCAGCATCAGTTGACGATGGCTACTGCATGCTCCATCCCACATAAAATGAAAAAGATCATTACATGCTTAAAAGGGAGCTGCAGTCCTGCTGCCTGTGCATTAAAAAAAGTGACCTACTTTATTACTGGCCATTCCTATGACACGGTCTCCTACAGACAACCAGGTCCATGTCATCTTCCTTGTTCCAGCTAGAATATAAACCATTAAAAAAAGCTTCATGTTTAATTTGAGGCAATAAAAAAGAAAGGATAAACGCAAAGAAGATACACAGAAAGAAGATTTGAGGCAAAGAGTTATAAAAGAAAATTTGAGGTGAGTAATTTCCAGCGATCAGCAATGACCATAGACCTTCTATTCTGATAAAAACACAGATAAACACAGAAGAAGATCCTTGCCTTCAATTAAAATTAAAGTCACAATTACTTAAAACTTGTTAAACAGTTCTCCGAAAGATGATATGCCATTTTTGTTTATTGAATTTCATATCCAATCACAGTATCACACCTTTTTGCAAATTAAGAGATCTCTTTAGAAAAAATCTATCATATTTCGACCTGATAAGAGGCAGTCTGTGGCTTTGGAGCAAGTACAAGCAATTCATTTTCTTTATGCAGCAACCAGTTACAGTCATAGGAAAACATCAAGTTGGCTGTTTAAACAAGATATGCATAGTTTCATGGCCCCCAAATAATGGTATGATACATGACATTTGGCATGGGATACATGTCAACAAATATCGACTCTATGCCAGCCTAGTGCTCTGTCAGCATACACTTAGCATGCCAAAATTGCCAGTAGTATTCCACTTGGCATGTGAAACAACTAAGCAGAAAAGGCCATATATATAGAAACAATAACCACAATAAATATGCAATAACTAAAACATAGAAAAGATTGTAATATGATTTGGGACATGGATCTGCATCAACCCCGAAGTGTAACTTACTTTTCTTTCTCGGCACAAGGTTCTTGTGATTTGTGACAATATGACATCATAACAATAACCATAGTGGTGGGTGGCTCAATTTGAGATCTATGGTACATCTTGGTGACCTTCAATTTATGAAAAAAAAAAAACAAAGCAACAACTACCTGGGAGACATTTTCCATAGATTATTCTGCAAGCATATTATTGCAGGAAAAGTCAAACATCATTGCAAGTCCACAATGCAAAAGTTTAATAAATTAGGTTACAAGTCAATGCTATTTTTATTACTTCCACTTTGCTGTTTTCTTATCAATACTGGAATAACAATTCACATGCACCATCAACCATCACCCTGTCAAATGAAAGACATTACTGCAATGTATATCTGCCCATTTTATAAGGAGATAGTGCAATTTCTCATTTATCCATGAACATTGTGCTATCGACAGAACCATGGATCCTCTAAAATTTGATCAATCTTTACTGTTTACATGGCAGAGTACCACATACTAACCAATCAGCACAAGTTAACCACTTGTTTCAAGTGTCGAAAGATCTGCAGCCCTGCATCTATTTACAAATATTTAAGGGGATGGAACAAAGGATTAAGGATGGAGCAACAATGTGACAGGGCTGTCATGTCTTAGGTAGATAGTTCATGAATTCTTAATGATATAGAAAAGCTAACCAAAATGTCAAAGGATTTAACTGTGGGAATTGTGCTATCCTAATAATTTATGAGATGATGCAGCACAAATTCCATCCCCTAAGAGCAATTTTCATGCATTATTTTGGTGAAAATGTCCATGTAACTTTGTTTTTTGGACTATAATAGGAACCATAATAATGTCAATAGATGGATGAATCATATATTAGCAACCATGAAAGAACACCTGAAAATACTTCATCTGTCCGTAGGTGCATACATGCCAGATTCTTCAACATTGATACAAAACAAGTGTGTTGTCTACACCTTTTTATGAAACTAAACACAAAATATGCAAGACATTTCAAAACATATCATTGCTAATCAAGGTTCGTAATTTCATATCGTACTGGAATATCGTGCTCAGCTAGGTACGGTACGAGTATACTGAGTGGTACGTTATGGCGTACTGCTTGGTGTATATATATATATATATATATATATAATAAAAAAGTTAAAAAATAAAAAAGGGCGACATCGCCTCGTTTCTTCTCCCCGTGTGAGGAGAAGAAACCTCATTTTCTTCTCCCTATGAAGCCTCGGCTACGTCACCGAGGCTTCTTCTCCTCGCGCGGATGAGGAGAAGTCACCAACGATGCCGAGACCTATCGCCTAACACGAGGAGGAGATGACATCTCATCTGCGACGTCCGACGAGGGAGGGTGGCGACGATTGAAATCGATGTTCATGTGGTAAGGGGGCGAAAACAGCCCCAATCGACGGTACCACCCGGTAGCGGGCGGTCCACGTACCGGTTTGCTAACGGACTGGTACGTACTACCCGATACGAGCGGCATCATTCAAAATTAAAAACCTTGTTATTAATAATATATACAATGTACATTTTAATTTACTATGTATGTGAAAGTCTCCTTATACATTTGTAAATGTATTTTAATAACTACAGCATGTTAATCATTTAAACAGCTAGTATGCTTGTAATTTTATGGATACAACTTGCACAAAATGCATATTTGTTAGCAAAGTTATACCAATAAATAGAAGATAAATATTAACTCTTGTGTCAATTCCATGCCACAACCTACTTTTCTTTTTTATAATTTTACCAATAAATATCTGTACCTCATCATGTTTGTGTTCCAAGTTCACTGAGCTTTAAAATCTGCAGAACAAAAACATATCAATGTAAATAGGACTTGACTAACAGAATAACAAATAAGATTATAAGGGCTTCCACAGAATGCAAGATGTTTCTTGAATTTGTAACACATTTTTTCTTGTCTTTGTTGCTTTTGTAGCAAATTAACAAAGAGATGCAACTAGCTAATATTTTCAACAAAATGCCACAAAGATATTTTGACCAACCTTTAGATTTGGTTCCTATTCATACTCAGCTTAACAAATATCTCCTAGTTTGCAAATCAAGTTTTCCTGAACTTGAAATCTTAAAATATCATTACATGCATGAGAACAATTGTGAATTACCAGATGTCAAGCATTTCGCCTTTCAGTCTTTGGATTCTTTGAGCTTCTTCTCGAACACATAAAAGATTAGTTTTCACTTCCCTGCAAAGTCTCCCTTCAATAAGGCGGACAGGTAACCAAAGCTTTGGCACCAACTCCACGACATAGGACAGTGTCGTCTGGAATTCTTTCCCCACCAGAATTTTCTCGTCTTCGTCAACATCATATCCAATCTGGATAGAAGACTGAAATTAGGGTTTCAGTTCAACAACTTAGATTAAACTTATAGAAGTCATCACACACCTCACACACTGAGTGCAACTAATCAGAGACACATGAATGCAACGTGACAAGTTCTATATTGTGAAGCGGAATCCCATTCCAATCTTCCAGTTTCTATGGAAAGTCAAAGGTCATGCTTTTCTAACTTTTGCTAAAAAAATTAACTATAAATCCCAAGGGCTAGAGTTAGATATCCCGTGGAGGGTGTATAATTCAATTACAGATGACTTGCCCTAAATTCACATCAAGAAGCATTATTTGGAACGGCTGACTTCACAAAAAAAGACGCAAACAAGAGCAAGGAGACCTCCACCTGTTCAATCGACCACTTCCCTTCAAATATATGGAAATCACCTTCGACCATCATGAAATCGATATCCCTCCGCCGACCACGAGACGTTACCTGGAGATCTCTCTCGTAACAATCTAGGACACCCTTTGCATCAAACTTGAGACCGAGCGCCAGGTTTTGCTGACCGACCTGTTTAAGAAGATAAACCCTTTATGATACTCATTTTAACGCCGCCTCGATGACTAGAATTACGATTGCTCAAACTCAAATATAATGTCTTCCCCAAATCGAATAAAAATCGCAACTTTAAATGTGGCAGCACGGAGAGGATCCATCACCTGATAAAGCCGCGCAAACTTGTCCTTCTTGTCGAGCAGCTGGCTGACGGCCAAGCTGGGGATGAAGTCGGCAAGGCCTTCGTAGTCCGTTAAGACGCTCCACACCGACTCCAACTCGGCGTTCACACGGACCCGGGACTGTATCCTCCGCCTATTCTTCTGCTCCCCGACCTTCTCGACCTCGATTTCGAACCTGTCCTCCCCTTCGCCGTTTCTGGAGGCCGAATCGAGCCCCGCAAGCACCTCGTCGCCACCGTCGTCGTCGGGACCATCGCGGGGAAAATTGGAGGCGGAATTGGCGAGGAGAGGGTGCCTCATGGTGCGATTAAGAGAGATGAATTTTCCGTGAGACAAGGAGGATAAGGAGGAGAAATATAGAGGAGGACCGGAGGAGAAGGGTGAGAACAAAGAATGGGGATGGGGGCGAACGGGAAGAGGCGAATACACCGCGAGTTGAACTGCTACTACACCTAACATCCCTTCTTTTGCTCTGCCCTTTTCATTTCTCTTTTTATAGCTTTTATTATTATTATTATTATTATTATTATTATTATTATTATTATTATTATTATTATTATTATTATGTTTCTCAGATTTTAATGCAAAATTGCAGTTTCCATTTTTTTTTCTCTCTTTATATTTTTTTTTCTTATTATCATTTTCATATATCCTTCCAAATTAAATAATTTTGTAGTCATCTCTCTAAATTTTAGTTTAGCATATTATTTTTATTTAACTTTAGGTATTTTAAATTTATATTTTTAACTTAATTAATTAGTGTTGTTAATGAAGGAAAAGTGATTAATTCCAGTATCTTGTATATATGAAGACTCTTAATTTTTGAACAAAAATATATGCTATCTAATGTTTGTAGGGCAAATAGATTATTCCAAAATTGTAAGAGTAGATAAGTAAAAATGCTTTTACTAAAAGAGATTATACGTGTATAATATATTAATATCCATGTATTTAGATTATTAGACATCTGGGAAATTAGGGTACTATTCGAAAAAAAAATAAAACTTATGGTTTTTTTCCCGAAAAATTAACTATAGATATAATATTGTAATCAACGAAACTGGCACGATTGGTAAAGGGGATAAATCACTGATTTAAAACCTATCTCATACAAATTGTAATGTTATTTGAATCCCATCTTATAATATGAATTCAATTTACTTGTTCATGAATGACTAAATAGTTTGTGACCTACCTTTTGTCGCTCCAATTCCTCATACGTTGTGGCCCCGCTTGAATCGTGAGATAGGGTTGCCACCTGTTGGCTTCCCCGTGATGTGGCCCAGCGACATCAATCACGCCATGTGTCTAGGAATAAAGACGACTTGGAATGCCAGACCCACCACAGTTTGGTCCGCCCAAGCCACAAACATGGACCCCGAATCGACTCTTGTCCCCGACAAGAGTCAACCAAACATGAGAGAGTCGTCCTCTTTCCATGTGCATGCATCTGCCTTCAAGATTATTCATTGATCATCGTTCTTGGAAGAGAGGGAGACACACACACACACAATAATTTACTCCCAACAAGAGGTCATGGATCCTGCAGAAACATGCGTGCTCATCGGTGAATCCACACCACATCACTGTCAGTGTGTGCAGCCAACCCATATGATGTGATCTCTGTAGCCTTCTGGCCTCCATCATCGCTGTACTTGGGAGCATCGATCTGCTTCCTTATCCTGGCAAAGGCGTCGCTTTATGTGCTGTTCCCTGTAGCTATCAGCCTCTCAAATGGCTGTGATTGAGGAGTCGAGAGATGGGAGGGAGCTAAAGATGAACACATAATGTCTTTTGCCTTTTAGAGCTCCATCTTCCGACCATGGTTAGGAGAAGAGCAGCAGCATTGCAGAGAGCTGTTCACGGTGCAGAATTGAATGCACCACAGACTGGTGACTGCAAAGAGGTTCACGTTACTCACGCTGGTTTCATGATACACCACTGGAATCCATCTTTTCCTGCCCTACTAATACCCAGTCAGCTAATTTCTAGTCATGTGGTCGTCTTTGATTCTTGTTGTTAGTAAATTGGAAGAGTACAGATTCTCTCGAACGAGCATCATCTCACAGATCATGGCAGCTGCTTTTTTAGCTTTTCATGGTGCGTCGGGTTGACTTGGTCAGTCCTTACAGCAGATCTCATATCGTTGAGGAATGGTAAATGGAAACAGTTCAATGAAATCGCAAGAAATCCGCAGTTCTTTCTCTCTTTGAACCCAATCAAACTGAGTCAGAAGCTAAAGGTGAGGAGCCGAGAGTGGAAGGAATCCTATAAAGCATTTGCACTTGCATTTGCATTTGCATTTGCTTGGCAGCACAGAAGCGGAAGCGAAGTTTCCTTTTGCTTACTGCAGAGAAGGAACAAAAGCCTCCAACTCAACTCGTTAAACCAAAGCACTTGTCGTTAAGCTCTCGTCTCAGTGCGGAATCACTCGGTTTACTCCGCTGGTAATTAAACCCACAGCTATCTTTCTTGTTTGCACATGAAACTTTCTCCTCTATATATGCCTTTTGGCCGCAGCAGGGGACTTCACTGTGCTGCTGTTCCAGATCTGCTGCGGCAATCTGTCTCCCCTCTCTCTTCTTCTGCGAGGAAAGGGCAGGAGGAAGAGGAGGAGGAGGGAGCCTATGAGGGTTTTCTGGTTTGCTGGGTTGCTTTTCCTGGCAAGATGGGTTCATGGGAACGAGTACTGGAATGCGACCGAGTTGGAGGCTGCCTACTATGGGGCTGGGGACGGCAGTCCCCCTCTGCTTGTGGGTCTGACCCTCATCCAATCTGCGGCAGCTAAGGGTGCTGGTAATACCCATCTCCTCTCCGCATTCCTCCTCCTGTTTCTTGCATTGTCTGATCTCTGCACACTGTTTGGGTTTCTGCGGTTATCTTCTCATCTCAGAGCTGGAAACCAGTGCGGTGCAATCTGTGGTATTGTTTATGGGATGATCACCCGTCTCCTTCATCATTGTTTGTTGTTTGTTTGATTGGACTTACTGTCCATGTTGAATCTCCAAAAAAGCCATTTTGGTTATGTCTGCTTTCCTCTGCAACTCATTTCATTTTCTTTTATGAGTCAATATAATGATTGCACATTACAGCTTTGCATATCTTTTTGTCCCTCTTTTTCTTTTTTATGCTTTCCTAAATGAAAGATAGCGGGGTGAGATGACTGGAGGAAGAATCTTCCATCTATTTGGACACTTTCAATAACATGATTTCTCCTTTCAGATCTAAATAAAAAGAGAGCCTGGTGAATGGTGATGTGCAGCAAGAAAACTTTTAGTTTGTATCCAAGAGATCCATATTTGTGGATCCATTTGAATGCCCTTAATGTTCTGGGGATCATTATGTTTGTCATCCATTAAAAACTGTAATTTCTCATAATACCGGTCATTTATTGCAGCATCCCTGTTTCTTCTATGTTGTTTGTCCTTCCATTATTCTGACATTAGGAATTGGTTCATCATAATGGATCAAACTCATAATTATATGAAGAAACTCATCTGATTTATGTCGATCATCTTGCATCTAAAGTAACTTTATAACATGCCTTTTCCAGTTGAATGAGGACCATAAGTAACTCTTCTTACCTTAATACAAATACATAGTCTTGGCAGCTGATACTCCTGGCAGAGTACTGAGAATACCCATTTGTTATCTTAAGTTTTGTTGAATCACCTCTCTTAGAGAGTCATAACTTGACTCATCAATTTTAGTTTCACAATATTTTTGCAACTCTGAATCCCCTTGTCACCTTGTAAATGGAAGGCATTTTTTTTCTCCACTTATTTATTACTTAGTTCTTAAGTTTTTTGTTAAATAAACTTATAGACCAAAACAGCCATTATCATCCTACGACAATATCCTTTTTTATGGTTTTGGTTAAGAGAACAATCCAAAAAAAATATGAATTGCTTTAAACATCTATGCATTTTATAAGGAGATTTATTAATACCATCAAGTTATTTGAAGGGAAACTGATTAGTCATTTTGATCTTCATGAATCCAGTATGTTTGGATGGGAGCTTACCTGGTTACCACTTGCATCGTGGCTATGGATCTGGAGCGAATAGTTGGGTTGTCAATTTAGAGGTGATTAGCCAAATCTACAAATTGGAAATTATTAATTCTGAATTTGCTTCAGAAAATCTGGTCTTGTAACATATTATTGGGAATTATTGATACATAAAATAATTCAGAACTTAACATATTAATTGTGGTCTATGCAACATCACACTTCTGTCCAATATTGTTACTGATGTGATTCAAACTTGATACAACTCAGGGAGGAGGCTGGTGCAATGACATCAAATCATGTGTTTACCGAAAGAGAAGTCACCATGGTTCATCCTACTTCATGGAGAAGCAGTTACAATTTACTGGAATACTCAGTGACAAACCTGATGAAAATCCTGGTTTTCCTCAAACCAGCACTTATATTTTCATAAATAGACAGTTTAGCATTTTGGTATATTCATCTTTACAGAATGAGCATGTTCCATAATTTACTCAACATATCAAATTCCACCTCTTGCAGATTTCTATAACTGGAACAGAGTCAAGATTCGTTATTGTGATGGTGCTTCATTTCTAGGTGAAGGATATAACAAGGTCGGTTTAATGCCTCTTCCACTAGGTTATTGACAAAAAAATAGTGATCTGATTGCCTTGAGTCATCATGGCTACATTTGTTATCTCAGGCATAAGATACAAGCATTATCAATTTGCAGATTCTCTCATTATGTAGATAAGAACAGAGCAGATGTCCATCCCGATGGATTTGTAACCTAAGGATTTTAGTGTGTATAGTACAAGGTCTGTCATACCGAAGCGTATCGCCCGTACCGGTCCGACAGGTTACCGGTATGCGGACCGCTCGATATCGCTACAGTGCTACAGTATTATACTGTAGCACTACTATAGTATAAAAAAAGTATAAAATTATTTGGTACACCAGGGTGTACCGCTCGGTACGCCCTGATGTACCGTCTGGTACACTGGTACCGTATCGTACCGACCTCGGGTCGAAACACTGGTATGGTACGGTACGACGAACCTTGGTGTATACAATAATATTATGCTCAAAAGTTTTGGGAGCAAAAGAAAATATTAGAAAGATAAATTACACATCTAAATAATGCTTACAAGGTGGGCCTCAGTTCCTTTTCCCCTCAGTTTCCTTTTGAGGAGTTCAGTTTCTTGGTATTTTTAATATGATGGACTCAAATTACCCTTGACTCTGTTGTACATAGAGTTTCTTAGTTATCTTTATCATGGGACATCATAATGCAACAATCTATTTAAGATCAAGAAGGTAGACCCCATCTTATGCAGGGGTCTACCTATGTCATGTTTTTGAAGTGCATCTAATTTTGCAACAAATATGAAAATTATAGCTAAGCTCTAGGTAAAGGTTTTGGCTGTTGCTGTGGTGTTTAAAATATGTCTATTTGATATTTTAGGCTGCAGGCCTTTATTTTCGAGGGCAGC